CTGACTTTGTCAAATGTAGCGAAAAACCTCGTCAAATTGAATTCAAAGAGACCATATTCAAGTTCAGAAAGAGGAACAAAACTTCGTCGTTGCTTGTTTACGTAAGGCATTTTCACGTCGTAGTCCTGCAAAAACTGCAATTATGAACATAAAAGTGTGATGCACGTGCGAAGTTCGTTTTTGCTAATTAAACCTATTGTTTTTTTTTACGTTGTCGTTGCCGTCGAGTTGTTGGATCTTGGAAGTCCCTTTTATGCAAGAAACGCACACAAAGGAGGTGTTAACAACGACGTTGGATACTCCCATGGACGAAATCGAGGAACCACTTATGTTTATGATTGAACTCCTCAACAAATTTTCTAATTTTCGTTTCTCTCATGCTTGAAAATTTCAGTCCTGGACATATCTCAACTTGATAGCTTGCGTAGTTGGTGAGATTCGTATGCGCGGGGGTACTTTCTTAGTGGCGCGCGCCGCAGGTTTGACGTGTTTTCAATATTTTCGCGGCTCCGCTTAAGCCGCTTTAATAATCTCGCCAGCTACGCAGGCTACAACCTGACGAGGCTGATGGTTCACCATAAGGGTGAATATAACAGGACGTTCTTCATTAGGCTAGTGAAGTTAATATCTATTTAGATGTTCTCAAAACATAACCAAAGTCTTAAAGTCGTAATGATGGTGACAGTTTCGATGACTGTCAGACTTGAGACTTCGGCGATCGACTTCAGAAGCCTATTTAAGGCTTCTGACACCTTTGACGATTTCCAAGTTTTGATAAAGATGGCTGACAGTCATCGAAACTGTCAGCATCATTACGACTTTAAGACTTTGGCTATGTTTTGAGAACATTTAAATAGATAATAACAGGACGCTGATCATGACAAGACGTGTCAGTGATCGTAGTTTATTAACTAAACAAAAGAATGTGACTTTTCTTGAGAAACTGACCCTGACTTGAAAAGTAATTAAGAGGTTATTATTGAAAGTGTAATAAAGACATTTAATACAAGAAAACGAACTTGTTTATTGATAAAAAAATAACTTATGATGGTCCTAAGAACTCTTGCTGTACAAATGTACAATGGATCGGCCTAAATGCACCGTGAAAAGTCTCTTAAAAGTGATAAAGAGCTTTCAATAGCCCGCGTAGCAGGCGCTTGGAAGTAGTGGGCACAAGAAAAAATGGACGCGCGAGAAGGAGACACGCGTGTCTCCGTCGCGCGCGCCCGTTCTCTCTTTCGCCCACTTCTTCCAAGCGCCTGCTACGCAGGCTAAGGTTTCGAAAATGCCTGCTTCGTAAAATTCACGCAATCGTGCAAAGGGCGCATTATATACCGAGACGGTATGAACTCTCTTATGTAGGCTTAGTACTTTTTTGTGCCATAAACCTGGCAGAGCAAAAAACTGATAACTTTCACTCAGCCATTTGCAGGAGGAGGTCTTTTAACTACAACTATGTTCTTCAGGGTTTACTGTCTTGTTCAAATTATGTGTTATTATTCAGACACTCGAGTAAACTTTAGATATGAAAGGGAAAACGAAAGAATAATATTCTTTGTTGTTGTGACGTAATTTACAGCGGTGATCATATTGGCGAGAACACCTAAAATATGTCTGGAATGTTTATTGTGATGTAACCAATCACAGACGAGATCATCACACCACAGAAACCACAGGCAACGAACGGTTTCCTATCTGTCACGGAACAAATTATTTTCATTTTGTTTTAACATTCAGTCTTTTTACAAGTAAACACTTGCTTTTCCTTCCTATTTGTTTACAGTATGTGCTATAATAGCGAAGAATACAGGTTTGAGCGATTTTGAAATAAATTACAAAGCTGATGTGCCGGGCCTACGCACGCGACGGTTTGGCGCGCGAGTTTTCAAACTTTTTGTAACGATCGAAATCGGTAGTTACGCCTGATCGCAAGTTACAATGTTGCAAGGTAAGCCGCTCGAGTTTTCTGATTTCCATCGCTACGCAGCTAATGCAGTAAGCGTAAACACTTTTTTGTTAGGTGAGGGAGATTTACTATTTTGGTAATTTATTTATGTTTTTTTGGTAGCTATGTACGCGTGAGGGAGAATCGACATGGCGAAATCTAATCCGGGAAAACGTTTTAGATGTTCACAACAACGGTTTGTCAATCAGACAAACCGAAAAATAACACTGCGTGACTAGACAAACAAAAACAGAGGAAAATGCCAGAGAGCTTTGACAGCTGTCAGCAAGTCTAATTTTATTTCCCGCCCTTATCGCATATCTAAAAGTACCCTACGTTGCAGGTGCGTGGGAGAATTGCTCTAAAGTCTTGTTCAGAAGAGTTCTGAAGAATACGGAAATGTCGGAAGTAAAACAGTGGCTTATGTCAATTGGAATACCAGGAATAGAAAGATTGGCGGATGAATTTGAATCCCGGGGATTTTCGACTCGCAAATCCTTACAATATCTTCAAGACGGCGATCTCGACTACATATTCTCGTCGCCAAAACGTTTGCTTATCGCGGAGAAGCGAGCACTGGACCACGAACTGCGACAACTTAAGCTTAAATCACAAGAACCTGCCAGTACTGCACATTTAATGCCGAAGCAGTTGCAGTTTAGCAGTAACGAACCACAAACTTGGGCAGCCGAAGGAGAGACGGCAAAAGCTGCATCAAACTCAAGCAGTACTACTACACGCAAGATCGATTCTCCTCTAGACCGCCGTAAGCAAGAGCTTGTTGAAAATGTCAGTTTTTTGGAGGCACAGATTTCAAGTGCAGAAGACCACTTGGCAAAGCTTAAAGGCGAAAATGATTTGCTCCAAACCGTTTCCCGTGGAAGAATTTGTAGTCACTGTCATCAGTCTGGCCATAACAGGAACAATTGCCGCGGAATTGCATGTGATTCTCACACTAAATGTAAATTGAAAGACAAACATCCAGAACTGGGAAAATCAATCAGTGAAACTCGAAAAATGCTAACTGTGTTAAGGAAAAATAAGGAAACGGCCAAGCAATCTCTGGAGCAATTCATGTTACAGCTTCAGCGATTGCGCGGGAATTTTTTCGCCGTAATGCGTCCACGCTTGAAACGCCTGAATCCAGTAAAATATCTGAATCGTCAAGAGCTTGATAAAGATCTGCTTTACCTTCATAAAGCGCTTGAAAACAAAGTACCATCGGAATCAGAGGATTGGCGCTTACCTTACCTGATTGACAACTGTAAAGGCCAAGTAAGTTCTTTCACGGAAAGTGCTGCGTTACTTCCCATTTCTTTGCCTGCTAATCCTCCCGAAAATTCATTTTATAATGGTTTCAGTCTAAACAACGGGGCAAATTCAACTTCAAATGTGTCAGTAAGATTCCACCCATATCAATTGTAATTCTTTCAGGCTTATAACACCCGCGTGTAACAGCTATATGTTGAAATATTTTGTAACTATGTCATTATGTTGTAACTTTCACTTGGAGCCGAGATACATCGGCAAAGGACATGAACGTTGTGTTTTTACAGTAGTACAGGCGAAAGTGTTGCAGATACGTTTTTTCTGTCACCCTACAAAGTTGTACATGTTTCCTAGTCTCATACGTGTAACTTAGCAAGCATAATCATGAAGGTTATAATAAAGTTGAAATTCGAGAGTTGTTCTTGTCGAATTCTTCTTAGAAAAATACATTTTTAGATATGCATTGAACCGTTGTAACATGTGAGCATTCGGACATTTACGGGGATTCGTTTTGTAAGAAGAACTGCGATCGGAGATAATCATTTTTTTTTTCTTTTGCGCGCAAAATGTGCTAATTTGGACTTGAAATCTTCTTGGCTAAATCCTCTCATAACTAGCTTCTATAGCATGTAATCGCCCAGATATTAAATGCGTAAATGCTTTCAGAGGAAAAGCAAAATTATATTTTGGAAGGAATACCGAAAATTGCGCGTTTACTTTGCGCGATGTGCCAATCATTCCTTAGATGTTGAATTTGTTCGGCGGTCTTTCCAGTTTGCGACCTTGCGATCAAGGGACATCTGCCAGCACAGTAGTTCGAAGGTTCAATCGTCAGTCCACACAAATCGAATCCCCTTGTTCGACAAAAAAATATTAGCAAGGATTATGCTATCAGAAACGAAAACATCACGATTGGTCATTTTTTATTGTCTTCATGTGATATGTCGTTACATGGAAAGCTGGTCGCTGTCGCGTCGCATTGGCTTCTACAACTTTTCTTTCTAAAATCAAATGATGTACTGGATGCGGTCCTCGGCACTGATCTTGGGGAACAGCGGTGTTTTAAATTCCTAATAAGGCAGTTTGTATCCTTAAAGAAAACGAAAATAATTTGTTCCATGACCGATCGGAAACCGTTCGTTGCCTGTGGTTTCTGTGGTGTGAAGATCTCACCTGTGATTGGTTGCAACACAATAAACATTCCAGACATATTTTAGGTGTTCACGCCAATATAATCACCGCTGTAAAGAAAAGCGCAAAACTCAGTGGGAAATTTTTCTCTCAAACTCACATTATGTTGCCCTCCATGGCACACACCATAGTTCGAACAAAAGTCAAAGAAACATATGAGAATATTACGTGACTATATACAACGCGTTGGAATTCAAGTATAAAGAATTTTTACAGCATGTCTACTGAGTATGGAAGTAGTCTCTTGCAAGACTGTTGATGGCGAATGTCAGTTCAAGCTTCACAGACGCTAGTCAGTCCTAGTAGCGTAAAATCTTAACGCCTAACGTAACAACTAACGTTAGCAGCTCAGTCGAACCCTGTTTTTAACGCCAGATAACAGTAGTTATGTCAGACGTTGGGTCTTATGGCGACTGGCTCCATGAGCGTTCAATAAAGTGAAGGGCGACATACACAAATTTTTAAATGGAACTATAAACAACTCATCAGAGAGGTTCAATATTGTACACAATTATTTCAACATCAAACGCTGATAAATGCCTCTTCAGAGAAATTTGAGAAATGTTTCAAAGAGGGTACATGAAAGACCTGGACGTCACTGCTTAAAATTGCTCGGTACCAGCTTCCAAGAGTTGGACGCGTCTCCTATATCCAACACTATGGCAACACCAGCTAGAACCCAGTGATCCGCGGTCTTGGAACATTTCATCGGTAAAGTGAACGAACAACATTGTCGAGCCTGTGAAATGACCAAGAAAACATCACAAATACGATTTGATTCGGTTCTAATTACATACTTGACAATCACCAACTGTTAAGCTTGACACTGAAGAAACTGCGTCCACCTACACCAGTTCAAACCACACGACATAATAAACCAGACACAAACAATTAGACCACCATTAACGGGATATACTCAGCAGTAAAGGGATAACTCTACAGCAAAGTTCCCTTCGAACCACGGTGGGAAAGGCCCGCAGAACTCTAACTTGAAGTCTCTTAAACCAAGAGGCCATTACTGACGCCTTCATATCACTTTTTCGTTGTACACCAACAACATTAAAACGGAAACCCATTAGTAGAAAAGGAACTAAAAAAAATCCAGCTTCTATCAAGCTCAACACGGCGCTTTGGAGCCTTAAGTCTAGATATCAGGGTAGCTAGAGCCACTAGGGACACTTCTGGAAAATGTTGGTGGGGATGTTCCACTGGAACATTGGAACCCCTAATCGGTCTACCGTCACCGTGACACTCTATAGTTTTTTGAATACTCCATCAGTCTGAAAGTTAAGGATGTGTTCACGTCAGCTGGTTTTCTTAAGATTTTTACAAGACGTGCTACATTTTTAAAGCACACAGATTCAAAATAACCTGATTTGGCGAAGCAGAAACAGATGAAACATCTAATCAGGAATAGGAAGGAAAGTTTTACCGCATTTTATATCCCCGTGTAGAGGCTTGGAAACCAATCGCAGAATTAGAAGGTAAAAACGAAAACAGGGCCCCCATGCTCGTACCGGACCAACTAGAGGAAAACATCAAAACTCACTCTATTCATAAATACAGGACAGCGGTAAACATCCAAATCGTCTGCCTCGTTCCTGTCCTCGGGCCTAGGCTCCTCTTCTTCAGGGATGACGGCAGACACAAAAAGGTCTGGTAACTGTGATATGGCCGACCTGATTAAGAGAAAGAAAGAACGGATTAATTCCACCTACCCCTCCCCTAAGTCACAATTTTGCCCTAAGTGAGAAGTAGGTGTTAAGTAGCTGATCAGTTCGCCAGAAACCTCGATTGATCCACAAGAACTATAGTTTGACCAACGACAAAAGCCAAGAGGGAACTAATCACTTGCCATCATTTTTTGACAACCTACGAGGAAGATTCGAAAATAGGGAGCTTGAAGCGACGCATGTCAACCGGAAGTAGACTTTTTGCATTTTGAGGCGGAAGGAAAATGCCCTCACTTCCGGTTGACGTGCGTCGCTCAAAAACGACATTGCTTTAGCTCCCTTATATTCTGATAACAGGCAAACGCCATCTCGTAATAAAACTTCTAAGAGGGTTTTCAAGACTCACAGTCAGGCCAGGTCAAGCGTACCCCCAATAAATGATCGATTATTTGAAAAATGAAACAGTCGTTGCCACAACCGGTATAAATTCAAATCTGCATTCCTGCATATGCAATCAGAAGTGAATTTTTTACGATACTCTTAGGCTGTATTCGGCCAGATTGAAAACTTCTTGAATAGACCATTTTCGAGATATTGAAATTCATACTTGGCTCCGAAGCTTGCGGGAATGAAACAAACGAAATGTATTATTGGTTGCTCAGCCTCAAGATGACTTCTTTTGTTTTACTCCCCCAAGCCTGGGAGCCATGTATGAATTTTAATCTATGGAAAATGGTATATTGATAAAACTACTTTGAAGATTTACACGAAATTCAAGAAAACTGAGCAGGCAGAAATTTCATGATTACCTCACCTGTGAGAGTCGATGCTCATTGCGTATGAAAGAATGCAGAGATGAACCTAAAATGTACAACTACCAATGCAGGGATGAATCTGATTCAACTGTAGAATAATAAGTTTATTAATAAAATCTTTGGGGGAGGGGGGTACGCTTGACCTGGCTCGACTGTAACAACAGTTCAAAATAAGAGAATAGCCGAGAGTAAAATTCACGTGTACCCCCAACGGCAAACGTGAATTTGTTCCTCGTGACCAAGTTTTCCCCTTAGTTATCGTTAACTGTTTGTTACTTCTACTCAAAATTAATATTTTCACGCCAGTTTTATCCATAAGAATTGTTCTGGACAGCTTTTATCTACTTATTTTCTATTTTGAGGAATTCTCAACTTGAATCTGACGTTTGCCGTTTGCCGCGAACGTGACTCTTAAAAATCTCCCTAATATGCGCAACTAGCTCACTATACTCACGTTGGTTCCACAAGGAACTCTTTATCCAGATCCATAGACGCACCTTCTAAATACAGTCCGCTTATCACCAGGCCTTGCTCGGAATCGCTGACATTCTCATCACGTGATAAGTACGATTTTGCCAGAGAACAGCGGAGTTCAACCTGAAGTCATTCGTATAGAATAGTAAAACGAAGTTGTATCAATCGTTGGTATCGAGGAACGCACCGTACCTAGATTGTCTGAAAAAGAGAACCAATTTATTTAGGTTCTCCAACTCTTGGCAGGGTCATCGCAAGAGCGCGTAGCGCCAATTACTGCGGCCCCGTAACAGTCGCTCGCCTCACGAGAGAGAGAGATACCACCACACCAGGGACTACGCCCCCTACTCTCAACGAACAGTGAGTGGGTTCTTTAATGTCCCACAGAATTTATATGTGCAAGGGTTGTGAGACGGGGCGTACGGTTTATCATCCTTATCTGAATAGACTAGAAAGTCTAACCGTTGGCATACGTGTGTCTTTACAAAGGCGACTTTTCAAGGAGCCACATTAGATCTTCAAGGACCACCTACTAGGAATATAATTTCACAGACTGTACAAAAATGCACATTCCCAGTCTATTCTAACAAGACTTTAAGGTTTGAACTGTTTGCTTCACCAACTTCTCTACATTTTTCAGTTCACTTGTCTTAAATTGATAGTTAATTATTACATAAAACATAGAGCACTTTATGTAAATAACCTTTAAATTCTTTGAGCTATGATTTATATTCTATATTGGAAAACCAAAAATAATAAAAAAACAATTTCAAGGCCACTTGAAGAAAATTCTAGGACTTTTCAACACTGTGCGAAGCCTGAGGCAGCGGCCTCCCCCCCGGCAGACCGGCACTTATCCAATTGAGCGAACCGGACGTCAATAAAGCACACAGTACACAGAAACGTAACACGCTGGCGGGTTACCATCCCCGGAGAGGTGTGACTCCTTGAGCTGTAATCGTTCGGACAACAATATCATTTGCAGGAGAAGNCACTTGAAGAAAATTCTAGGACTTTTCAACACTGTGCGAAGCCTGAGGCAGCGGCCTCCCCCCCGGCAGACCGGCACTTATCCAATTGAGCGAACCGGACGTCAATAAAGCACACAGTACACAGAAACGTAACACGCTGGCGGGTTACCATCCCCGGAGAGGTGTGACTCCTTGAGCTGTAATCGTTCGGACAACAATATCATTTGCAGGAGAAGCAAGAAGCAATCGATGCAAATTAATGGGCAGCAAGTACGGGACTCACGATTTTCGCGTGGAGTTGGTTAACCCTGTGCTATAGCCTGTCTCAGCAGACCCTTGTTGATCCCACTGAACACCTTTAGTTAGTGTTTGTCGCAATTCTTATTTGATTAAGAGAAATCGCTGAACTCCTAATCTGTGGGTAGCCAAGGTAGAGTGTTAGGAGGATCGCTTAGCTTTCGGGGAAAGCCTCCTTATATAGACCATAACCATAGACGTTAATTAGGCCTAACAAGGCCCAACAAGGTATCCAGGCCAGCCACTTCTTAAACTCACTGTAAACGTTTGTTTTGCGCACTTTACAATTCTTCGCGTCTCTTGATAAACCTTGACAAGATACGTATGAATTTTAAAGGTCTCATTGTTATCATACATCCCTTTGTTCCTTGACGAACTTTCTTGCAGTTAGTCATTCCGTAAGGCCCTTACCTGAAGAAATATTGACTGAATTGAAAACCTTAAACAAACTCAAAGTTGTAAAGTAAGCCTTGCTTTTCCACTTTTTGAATACGTTGCCGGTACCTATTCATACACCAGGATGAAAAAAGACAATAAAGCAAAGTTTCTTGTCTAAGGAAACAACGCGACGGCAAGGCTTGAACCCAGACCTCCTGATCGAGGTGTTAACCGCTCGGACAATAAGCCTTCACTTGACACAACCTCAAGTAAAGCAAAGTTATCCAGTCAAATACAATCCCGGACAAAACTGCTTGAGAAAGTTTTCCCCATCATGTCCACTTTCCTACGCAACAAAACTATTTCCAAAACGACGCCTTTGTGGAAAGAAAACCCCTTCCCCCAATTCAATGTTGCTTCCCACAATCGTCCAGGGATCAGGCTTTCTTTTGAATACACAACAACATTGCTTTCAGGGGAAGGGGGAGAGGGAAGAACCGGTACAGCTTCGATGTTTAGAAAAATGCTGTCCAAGTATCCAATTTTCTCAACAGTTTTGTCCAAGATTGTGTACAAGGTGATTCGCGTTTTCTCGCAAGAATATTTGCAAGTACAAAACAAAAACATGCTAATAAAAAGCACTTTACAGAAGCTGTTTTGAGCACAAAGTTTCACGCCAGACCATCTTCTCATAGAAAAGCACGACCTCATATACGTTTTTTGCAGCACCCACTTTAAAACAGTCAGACTTCGCAATAGCCGTACAACGCGTGCTAATTGTTACATATTTTACTGTAGTTCCTGAATGGAAGGCTCGGAAAATGTGAAAAGTAATTTATCTTTTTCAGAAGAGTCTGAACAAGACTTGTATGACGGTTCTCTTCGAAGAAAAGGAGTTCCTAGTGTTTATTTAGGGACTTAATAGTCCGTGCGATATGGAAACGTTTCCCATCACGTGGAAATTGCTTCTCACAGCTTATAATTGGTTAAACTATGGGTTTTACAGAAACTTTGTTTGTTAAAAGTCGGTTAACGTTTTATGATAATTCCATGGATAGAATAATATTACGATTAACAAAGCATTGAAACGGTTAACACCATTTCGTTTTCAATAGAGAATGACCTTCTGATTCTTATTAAACTTCCCTGTTAATCGTTGTTAACCGTTGCTAATCTTCGCAGCCGCTCAAAAATGTCCTGTTAATCGTTCCGACTTGCAGATATTGTGGAGAGAAAAAGATCAGAAGTCAACTATGGCAACTTTTATCATGCCCTGGTTTACAAATTATCAATTTAGGTCTTAATTTTTCCAGTCATATGTAACCCGAAGACAGAACGTGCACTTTTACAGGTCACGCAATAGTACATCTCGTCACGTTATCGCGCGTGACATTTCTAGATTTCATAGTGTATTTTTTTGCACTGGATATCGCTACAATTTCAAAAGTAAGCCTTCAAATGTGAAAAGTAAAAATGCAGCTTTTGTAAATATTTAATCCTCTCTCCATTTCATGCTTTTATTCATTGCAAGTGCTTGCCCATTGACTACTTCGGCGGTGGGAAAATTATTCAAAGTTGTCGGGTCACGCGCTCTGAAAATTCAGCAAAAGTTTCATGTGTTATTTGTTGATCGAATCGTAGTGGGTGAAATTCCCGTTTTCTGGCTAATCTGCTTGACGCGTCCTCGAAAAGCGCAATGTATGCCCACCGCTCTTCACTCAAAGCGCGCGTAAAAACCTTGCATGGAAAATGAGTTTCACAAACGTTCTTGACTGACCACTCCAATCAAGTAAGACATACCAATTGATTTTCTTATCATAAACGCCTCTGTTTTCCCTCACTTTGCATTAATTATCTATTTTCTTTGAAATGTACTACATTTATAAAGCACAGGCTTATTTGGCTGCGTTAAAGGCTGCAAATCGCCTTTCCCAGTCAAATACAATCCCGGACAAAACTGCTTGAGAAAGTTTTCCCCATCATGTCCACTTTCCTACGCAACAAAACTATTTCCAAAACGACGCCTTTGTGGAAAGAAAACCCCTTCCCCCAATTCAATGTTGCTTCCCACAATCGTCCAGGGATCAGGCTTTCTTTTGAATACACAACAACATGGCTTTCAGGGGAAGGGGGAGAGGGAAGAACCGGTACAGCTTCGATGTTTAGAAAAATGCTGTCCAAGTATACAATTTTCTCAACAGTTTTGTCCAAGATTGTAGCTCACTCTTCTGGTATATCAAAGGGTGCACACAAATTGTAAACGAAATACAATTCTTAACAATATTTTATAAGCTTGCTTCAATCCTACCTCGTCCACAGAACATCCCACCATGGCCGCTTTCTCATGCCTGAGTGACGTCATCAGAGCTCCGGGATTGGCCAGGCCACTAAGCCAGACAGAGGTCAGCTGACCCCGCCCTATGAGGGGTTTAGAGTTTGGATTTGGAACGATTCCACGTCAAACCCAGTCACTGAGCTGCTTGTGGCGCCGATTTAAATCTGTTTCAAAAAGACAACCGCCGACTGTTTAGATCAACTGGTTGAGTAACACAATTCGGGGCAAAATGCCCGGGTTTAATCGCTGGCGGGATCAACGCTCAGGCCTCAGTTGTTCAAAAGCTGAATAACGCTATTCACTTGATAAATCTCTCTATCCAGTGGATAACGCAATCGCTTTCGCCAATACTTAACCGCTGGATAGTGATTTATCCGGTGGATAGTGCTATCCAACGTTTAAACAACTGGGGCCTGCTGGTTTTTAAAAAAACTGAGGAGAATGTGTTGCCTTTGGTTCACATCACATTTCAGTCTTTTCGGTAGGGTATAAACACCGTAGGTACTGTCTCACAGCACTTCCCTGATCTGACTGTCGTGGAACCACTAGGAACTTAACGATTCCCGGCAGTGAACGCCCACAGTGACTGTTTACCGTGGATTGTGAGGATAGATAGGTAGGGGAGGGTATCTCACAAGGGATTTATGACTCCAGCTCGTGCCTCTTCCCATTGGGAAGGTCCGTGCCCCATCAAGCTGATAAAAAACAAAATAAAGTAGAACAAGACCCCTTTTGTATTGTACAAAACACCGCTAAACGAAATCTTTTGTCATGGGGAAAACCTTATAAAACTATCACTCATCGTATACCGTGCAGTATCTCACGGTTCGCTTGGACAGTGCTCTACTTCTTATCTACTCTGATTTCGAACACCATCGATCGTTACCTTTCAGCCAAGACGTCAAAATGTGGGGGGAGGGCTGAGAATCCGGATGTAGCCAATCAGTGGGAACCATGTCACATTGGAGTGAGTCAACAACGGACGCAAGAGAGGGCGGAATTGCAGATGACCCGCCAAGGACACAATGCTCCAGTACTTGTAAGGAGTGACGGATGTAATAGAGTAGACAGTTGAACAATTGACATTACTGAAATCAACACAGACAGAAAAAAAATACCGTCGCCACTTTTTTAACAGACAACTCTACAAGATGGGTCCTTCCCAAAGATGGACACCTGGAGTTGATTCTACAAGACAGAAACCTCACAAACTTTGCCTTCTTGTACTGAAAGACCAAACAAGGCGAGGTATCAATCTAATCGTTAGATGACAGGGACATTAAGCAACGATAACGTTGACGTCCCGGACGACAGAAATGGCAACCCGAAGTTTATATTGTCTCTCCTTCAGTGCTCTGAGTCGACAAATTCGTACAGCAGGTGCTAAAACAAAGGCATCAGATTCGTTGAGTGAGACAGAAGGGTTCCATCAAGAGAGAGATCGAACTTCTCCCGGGACGTCAGCGTTATCGTTGCTAAAGCCCGATGGTGTGGTTAACAGGTTTTCATCAGCTCAGACTCAGGATTAACCTTAGAACAGTAAGAACTGATAACCTTTTTGGAATTTACTCTGGATGACTTTATAAAACTTCTTCTCGTTAAAGCTATTTTCGTTTGACCTTGGAAAATGGTTTCCGTAAGTCCTCATTGTTTGTCTTAAAAGGTAATAGTTCAAAGGAATAAAACATGAACCCGTTGTTTTTCCGCCCCAAGATGGAAAAGGCGTCATTCAATTTTTCAACGGCAGCCCAGTTTCTGTTAAAAAACTTACTTTTCAAGGATCGTTTATCATCTGCTAACTCAACGCAAAATCGCACGCAAGAAATAAATCATTCATCTCTTGGCTTCAAAGTTATTTCTTGTATCTAACAAAAAAATTCTCTAATCTGACTGACTATCAGCTGATTTCAGGATAGGACTGTGCAATATTAGGACAGTACGCGTCATGCATAAGTAATTGGACAGTACGCACCATCGCGTGGGCCCACTTGAATTTTTTCTTTCCCTGCTAGCTAGAAACTCTCGGAATACTTTGGTTTAATTTTAAAAAAGGTTAACATATTACATGCTTTGTTATAGTTATGATTAAGTGGTAACAGAATTTCGTGTCGTACCATTCGGTCTGTATTAATACTGGTGATTAAACAAATGGGACTCCCACAGTAACTCGTATGATTACAGACCAAATTGGACCAGCTTCACTCAGTCCTACTACCACTATTAATATATGTACCTTTTGCAAGACATAACCCATGGACTCGGATATTCGTTCGTCCGCTCCAACAGAGCTGCCGGACTCGGAATAAACCGACAAGGCACGTAGTTGAGAAAGCACACGTGGGAGAAGTTGAGTGACAGAAACAGCCCCGTCCTGTTCTATTTTTAGCAGTGTGGGAAGTTGTTCGATGCACAAGTCCATAGCTGCCCGCAGGCGGGGCATGTTGATCATGTTTTCCGGTGAAGGTTCTTGGATCAAAGCGGTTGTCTGGTTAATGTTGCGGTGAAGCTTATCAAGCTTGCAAATGAACTCCGAGGCACTGTCAAAGAAACACTGTGTCACTTAAACTTTACTTTTAATCTCTGCAACTTGCCTAGGTTTATGAGACACAGACAGACACGCATCGGGTTTTTTTAGCAGCTCCTAAGTCGTTTACAATTTTTCTGAATTTTTGGAGAAAAAGCCCTCATTGATACTGTTAAAAATTGTACTCTTTCGCGCGTCTAGGTTTCTGCCGCCCCTATTAATGCTATAATATCTTCATCAGTAGCACCTTTAATACTGGACGCCATTTTGGCAAAGAGATGCAATAAACGTTGCCATAGCAGGAATTCTGCCCATTCCCTGCTAAGAGAGGCCTCTGTTCCCTTTCATTGGGCAGGCGGGAGGAAAAGAGGACAAGAAGCCTCTGATAGCAGGGAATTCTGCCTCAAATATTAACGAGTTAATTATCACCAACAACACTAAAGAAGAAAACCTCCTTCATCGCTGAAAATTTAACGCTGATCTTACCGTGATTCGTTGTATTCTCGTTCTACACTAACGTCTTGTCCCAGGGCCCTGACAGCACTAACGTCTGCGCCATCTGTGCTAGTCTTCTCGTTAAACCATTTACTGTAGTCAGACGGGTCTACATTGGCTGGTGGTACAGGCAGACTCACAGTACCCACACTAAGGGACGAGTGCTGTTGGAGGGCTGTTTCTTTGATCCCGTGACGTGTTAGTATTTCCACGAAACGGCGGTCTAAATGGTCAGTGACTTTCCCGCCATATACCCCCTTTGAATTTAAAGGAATAAAACTTAAAGTAATTCGATTTTGTAGCGAATTTTCAATTTTTATGCATTGGTTACCGTAAGTAGCATAGGTAAAAAAGGAGAAAATCGCCGATAAATCGCGTCAAAGGTCGAACAAGCTCGAAACAATGCAAGCGATCCCCGCCTGTTCGACTTAGACGCGCAATTTGAAAAATTGCCCATTGAATGGGCCAAAAAATCTCCGTTTTTCCTCGAAAGAGGAAGTGTAGTCACTAAGCACCTGTAGTAATGATTTACGCCAAAAACAACGGGAAGTCTCAGTATTTTCAGCAGTTGCTCTGTTTTACGAATTGATTCAAGACGCAAATGAATGCTCCCTAGAACGTATCTGGAGTAAGAAAGGGTCTTGGGGGAGGGGAGTGGGTGATTTAACTGGGCTGAATGGGTAAACAACACGCTTCCCCCGGAAGGTTGATTTGCCACTTTAAGCCAACAAACCACGCAAAAAAGTAAAGAAGTCTTAGACATTTTCGAACAAAATTTACAAAAGTTCTTCCAACTTACCTTGGAAATCATTTCAGAGAGTGCTTCTAACTGTGTAACACTCAGGCCACCTTGCCTCGTGGCCCACCCAATAACCATCTCAAATGCGGTTAACAAGTCACGCGTGGACAGAGGGTAGCGACCGCTAGATGCTCCGTCCTCAGCTGATCGCGCATGAGCAGGACACTGTGGCTTACGCACAAGCCAAACAAAGTGGAACGAACTGCGAGGGACTGGTCACGAGCTTGTTCCCAGTACGCTCTTGGAACGGCCTGTTATAACCAGAAAATACAGCTGCTTAGTGTTGCCACTACACAAGACAAGAACATTTGACTATTTTTCCTACTGAGTCTGTTTAGGAAAGGTTACACTTCTATTTTAGCTCTTAAAAGGTTTTAAGGAAAAGTTAGTTAAAATTCGTCCCCCAGCCCCCAGTCCCATAATGCAATTCGACACATAAACGACCACGTCACTCGTGCAACCTCAAACAAAATCGTCCCCACGGCTTTTCCTCCCATTTAAAGGAAGACGCCCTGGGAACCAGGTTGAACCTCTTCTTTCGCTATCTACTGTGAGTTTGCAGCCCAGCCATTCGCGTGGTACAAAACCGCCACGCTGGAGAGCAAAATTCGCACTGGGACAAGACAAACAAAGGAAATTACCATTTAAAATTATGCTTGTCTTTTGTTTATCTTGTCCCAGTGCGACTTTTGCTCTCCAGCTCGGCGGTTTTGTACCACGTGAATGGCTAGCTGCAAAGCGCCTATTAGTGAAATGAAACTTATCATACCTCGAGTGTTGATGTTATAAGGGACTTCAAGTCCAGGTCCGTGGAGTCCAGGGCCTGATACACCGGTCCTTCTCTCTGCACCACGTCCCAAGCCAGCTGATGGGCAAAAAGAAGAAGCCCCACTGGCAAATGATCTGCAGGCTCACAAAGAAGAAACACTCGCCACTGAGAAGGAGTTGATGAAGTTTCTGCAAACGCCATAAGAGAAAATATCACCAAACTGTGTTACTGAATGTTCGTGTTAAGGGGCAGCATCTAGTAAAAATAGCCTGGTTATGGACATTCTGCATAACTCACTCCATGTTCTATTTCCGAATGGTACCAAATACGTAAATAATTAGTATAAATACGATTGTAGAGAGCCAAGCAGAACGACTAGTATATAATAAATTGTAGGGGTGAAATGATGGCAATGGTTCCTCAAATTTAACGTTGTGAGAGACGTTCAAGAAAATCACAGTCATACCAGTTTTGTTGATCTCATTGCTTTAGACGATTTTTTCTTTGCGCCTACGATTTCAAATGTGGATGGGTCTAAAACACCAGCTATTCAAAACACTAAGGGGCTATTCAAATGATAACGGAATGACTTTCATTCTGGATCGAGTTCATTCCATCTCCATATATTTCTCTGCATTTGGTTGCATGATACCAAAAGACCATTTCGTTTCCGTACAAGTCATTCCGGTTTTCATTCCGAATAAAGTCCTCGTTCTGGTACAAATTCTGGTATCACGTAAACTGAAAACGAGCTTTGTTCTGGATTTTAAATCGCAAATCGTATAGTCTGGCACGAGTGGCGCATACGTATTTGACTGAAGCGAAAACCACGCGAGCGAGATCGCTTGAAAGCAATACGAACTTAACTCTGGAACGAAACTCATTTCAGAACGAAATTCATTCCGGTATCATACAAACAGACCCTAACTCTCTTTTACGAGTCCACAGCGTTCAACATTGGGCAAAAAAACTCCTACCTCCCCACCGAACCTTCAAGACCATCCTTTCCCCTCCCACATCAAAATGATACGCACCAGCTTGTAATTGAAGCCTTGATAACCGATTGTAGAGTTGCTCCAGCCATAGACGAGAAGCCAATTGAAGGTTTTCTATTACCAGCCAAGTGTCAGTCCGCACAGCCGTTACCAAGGCAACATCAATGACCTATTCCTGTCCGTGTCCCACAGATATCTGTTGGCACTATACATTATGTGTTGTTAATAAAACAAATTTTACCCGGTATTAAACAAAACCGCATTCTAAGCCATTTTCAATTTGACAGCCCCGATATATAAACGTTGTCTCCGCATTCGTATTCTAGCTTCTCCGTTGAAAGCTCCACATCTTTCCCTACTTCCGACCGGAACAGGGACAAGAAATATCCCAGGGAGAAGCGGTACTTGTGTTGAACACTGCACAGGGAATTCAGCAGAGAGAGCATCATAACAGCGCGTTTGACCAGCAGTAGAAATAGTTTACGCAAGCTCCTTAGCCTGTTGAAGGTGCTAAGAGTGCCAGTAAGGCGCTGGGTGACCTGAAGTGAAACAACACAAGTCAAGTTAAGTGCCGTGGAGTACTTACTGGTCTCTCGTGTGTGAACACTGATCTTTAAGTTCCATTGCGGTAGAAAATGACTTTGGAGGCCTTCTCTAATCCTTTAATTTCACGAATAAGGGCAAACCCTTGTTTTGCACTGCGGATCCCTAGGTGTGCATAAGGTGGCAGTGATTTTCACCGGTCACCTAAAAAGAGGTAATTTTGGCTCCCTTTGTAGTCCTAATGCTTTTGATGGCGATTTTGATAATTCTACTCAGCTAAAAAGATGTTTGTCTCGAAACTAGCCCCAGTTCCCTCGCGCAAAATGATCATTTCAAGCCAAAATCATCTTTTTGCAGTCGTTTTGTGATGAAACGAGAACGGTGACCCCCCCTTTTTCATTTGTGTTTTTCACTCGTTATGGCTACACCAAAAATATATATTAAACATAAAAAGTTCTTCATTTTCTAAAGTCTAGAATACTGGTAAACAAACACGACCCTGATTTCCTATATTGGCAGAATTTTTTACTTGTTTGCCCTCTAATAAAAAAAATGTGATATGGCTTTTATCCCTTCAGTCTTAAAGCCCATGCAAAGATGGTGGGTATTGTAAACAACGTCTTTAGCCATCTAAACAGGAATACTGTATTTCCTCAAAAAATAGGTAGAGGCGATTATTTGAGGAAGGCGATTATTTCAAATAATTGTTCAGTGGAGGTTGTGTCCTAAATATTTTTTCCAAATTTGGTTCCTTGATTAATTTTCAGTGTCAATGTCCTAGGCGTCAGAGCTTGAATCGTCACTGATCATTCTGCTGGATCTGACTCCTCTTCAAGTCGACAGGGAGGGTATAAGAGAAAGAGAAGATGGCGAGAGGGGTGAAGAGTGGGCAATTATTTGCAGGAGGCAATTAATCGAGGGACGGCCATTACTCGAGGAAATACCGTAGGTTTGTTATCCTAAAGATAATATCTGGTAATCAGTTGTCCACATTTCTTTCCCCATTCTTAAATTCTTTAGTGGGATAGGGCTTCGCATCAACCATTGTCTGGGGGATAGAGAACTGATCGTCAGTACAGAAATATGTGTTGATACCCCCAGACCTGGCTACTTAAGAGTGTGTCCATGAGAAAACCAGGCAGAACCAGGCAGGGGGTGATAATGCTCAAATCAACGATTTCGCTCCAACTTGGCACAAATGTTAGGTATCAGGAGTTAGCTTATGTGACAGAATGTCAGGTCAAAATATTAAATTCCCTGGGAGATCCGGGCTCCCACTGTAAAAATCGCCATTTTGCCCGTTTATGCATAATTAATTAGCTAACTTTACGATGCCAGTGCAACAAACAGAAAAGCCACCTGGAACTTAAATGAACTGAGAGATAATCTGACATCATAAGACTTTAAGCACAATAAACTGTTTAAAGTCGCCGATTCGATTTCCCCCCCTCTTAGCCCCCTTAACTTGGGTCATTATTTCCAAGTTTTGAGTAAGACGTAAAATTAGGGTATTTTATTCCCAAATATCTCTGATGAGCAACCGCTTATCTTTATAACTTTTGCATGAGTAGTTAAAGTCATCACTTAAGTTGAGAAAAAGATCATAAAAAGTTTGGGCAATTCACTTTCT